GGGGACAGATGGCCTCCTCTCCTCTGTAAGCTCTCATGTTCTGTCAGTTCACTTGTGACTTTGTGGTTGTTGACACTGTCAACAGTCAGGCAGAGAGGGGGGAGGGAGTGAGAGAGACTGACACTCCCAAGGGTGAGACAAGGGCAGGAGACAAAGGAGAGAGAAGGAGAGCAGGGCTCAAACATTTTACAAACACTCAGTACCCAAGGAAGTTCTTTTCCTTGCCATTTTAAATAATCACAAATGCACAGCTTGGGCTCAATGTACAGTATATAATCTCTGGAGTTGGGTAACCATGTTTCCCCAAGCTGAAAACAAAACACTTGGGTTGGGGTGATGCTCTGGGAGTTATTCACAGACTTTTCACTTTCTGAAAACCAGGGGAACAGCCATGAAGCCACCCTAAGGTGATACCTGGGTGATATGGACATGCTGCGTGTGTGGTGCAATGGGCCTGCCTGTAATACCACAACAAGACCACCAGAGGGCACCAGGGCTCTACCACAGCATAGTGCCGCTGCAGCAGCGCACAGGAAGGTCATAGACACAGACAGCCTGCAGTTTTGCCATTAGAGAGGCTGACACCTGGCCAAGAGTCACGCTAGACCATGGAGGAGCTCTGGACTGCAGAGTTCATTCTGATGAGCAAACCTTATATGCCAGATACCAGTACCGGAAGCCGAAGTTCTGATATATGCTGGTTCTTATCTGTGCTGTGTTGTTCTGATGTGATTTATGCTGTGCTGTTCTGATCGGTTCTGTGCTGGTCTGCACTCTCTTGTTTAGTTCTGATCTATGTTGTGCTGTTCTGTACTTTGTTGATCTGGTCTGATCGGTGCAGTGCTGGTCTTTACTCTGTTGTTCTGGTCTGATCTGCACTGTACTGCTCTGTACTCTGTTTTTCTGGTCTGATCCATGCTGTGCTGGTCTGTACTCTCTCGTTTTGGTCCCTGCAGTGCTTTGCTGAGCTGTTCAGGAAGGTAGTGACTTACCTGGCCCAGGCTGTCCCTGGGGAGGCTGCACTGTCTCTGCACGTTTGTGGCTCCCTGCCTCACTCCTGAGGTGGAGGCCGAGCGCCCCAGTCGCCCCAGCTCTGTGAACACAGGCGCAACGCACACACAGTTAATACCTTCATTAATCCCTCCTTCCAAGGCTCTCTTCTGAAGGTGCAGCGCGGTAAATGAGGAG